AGGAAAAGGATGGGTGAGGAGGGCATGATGGTACAGGGAGGTTGAGTTGGGGAAAGAACAGAAGAGAGCAGGATAAGAGATAATATAATAGAGGGAGACATTATAGGTTTAAAGAGAAATCAGGCACTAGGGAAATGTCTGGAGAGCTGCAAAGATGACACCAACTAACAATCTATGCAACAGAGGAGAGGCTACCTTAAAAGCCCTCTCCTGATAATGAGATTGATGACTAATTCATATGCCATCGCATAGCCCTCATCCAGCAGCTGGTGGAAGTAGAAGCAGACACCCACAGCTAAACCTTGAACTGAACTGAAATCCAGTTGCAGAGAAGGAGGACTGATGAGCAAAGGGGTCCAGACCCCCTGAATGTGGGTCTGAGTGAGGAGACCTTGGAAATCTATGGGGCCTCTTGTAGTTGATCAGTACTTATCCCTAGCATAGGAATGGACTTTAGGAGCCCATCCCATATGGAGGGATACTCCTTGAGACTAGACACAAGGGGGTTGGCCTACACCCTATCCCAAAGGATATGACAGACTTTGAAGACCCCCCCCCATGGAAGGACTCGCCCTTCCTGGGGAGCAGAAAGGGTATAGGATGGGTAGGGCGTTAGTTTGGGGGGGTAGGGGAGGAGGTGAGGGAGAGGGACCTGGCATTGACATGTAAAATAATTTTCTTGCTTAAAAAAAAAAAGAAAGAAAAAAATGTTTCAGTTCTCCTGCTGTGTTCTTGACCCTTTGTGAAATAAATTCCATCCACTGTCTATCTCTTCACTGAATTGTCACATTAGCTATAAAGAAACTTTTGCTCTCATGTCTATTGTTGCTTGTTAACTGTTCATTTTGTTGCTGTACCAAGAAATCTTTGCTAAGACTAATGCCAAGAAGCTTTGTCAGTATATTTACTCCTGTTGTTTTGCCGTGTCAGGGGTATTGTTTAAATCCCTCACCCATTTTGAGGTTTGTGCATATTGTGTGAAAGAATCCACTTCCACCCTCCTCAGGTAGACAGAAAATTTTCCAAATACCATTTTTTGAAGAAATTTCCATTTGTGAGATCATGGCATGCATGTGGAAAATCGGCTGACTGGGGATTCATGTTCATTTCTAGACTCATTCCAGTGTGGTCAGTATGTCTGATTTTTATGCCAGTGTCATGCTGTTTTGATTACTGTAGCTTCAATGTATATCTTGATGTCAGGTAGTATGATGAGTTCAGCTTTGTTCTTTTTACTCAAGATTGCTTAAGCTGCCAAGTTTCTTTTATGATCCTTTGCAAATTTTAGGCTTGCTATATCCAGTTCTGTGAAAAATGATACTGGAATTTGATAGGGACTCTACTGAATCTGTGGATTGCTTTGGTTTGTGTAGACATTTAAAAAGTATCAATTATTCTAACCAAAGAGCCCAGGATATCTTTATACTGAATTATTTTAACTGGTTTCTTTTATCAGCATTTTATAGTTCTGATACATCCATTATTTATCTTTTTGTTTAAAGTTATACCTAATCATTAGGTTTTGTTAGCGTGATACGTGGAGTTATTTTCTTAAATTCTTTTGTTGGTGTAACAACACTGCTGGTATTAGACTGCTGCTTTGTATTTGGCAACTTCAATGAATTCATTTATTAGTTCTGGAAGCTTTTAGTGACATCTTTAGGGTTTTCTATTTGCAAGATCAGTGATGATTTCATTTGCCTCAGCAAGCCCTTGCTCTAACTAGGACTTCCAGAACTGTGGAGAAAATGGTGAAAGTAGATATCCTTGTCTAGTACCTTCTCTTAGAGGAAGAACTTTCAACTTTTCACAATTGAATATGATGCTGATTTGGGCTTATTAATCTCTCATTTTTAAAGAATATTGCCAAAATATGTTGTCTAAATTTTTCCCCATTTTTTATTTAAATTAGAAACGAGATTGTTTTACATGTCAATCCCAGTTCCCTCCCCTCCTCCCTTGTCCTCCACTAACACCCTACCTATCCCATACCATTTCTGTTCCCCAGGAAGAATTAGGCCTTCCATTTGGGTCTTCAGAGATTGTCAGTTCCTTTGGGATAGGGACTAGGCCCTCTCCTGTGTGTCTAAGCTGAGGGAGTATCCCTCTATCTGAAATGTACTCCCAAAGTCCATTCCTATTCTAGGGATAAGTACTGACTACTACAAAAGGCCCCATAGAATTCCCAGGCCTCCTCACTGACACCCACATTCATAGGGTCTGAATCAGTTCCATGCTGGTTTCCCAGCTATCAGTCTGGGGTCCATGAGCTCCCCCTTGTTCAGGTCAGCTGTTTGTGTGGTTTTCACCAGCCTGGTCTTGACCCCTTTGCTCTCATCACCTTTGCTCATCACTCCTCCATCTCTGCAACTGGATTCCAGTTCAGTTCAGTGTTTAGCTGTGGGTATCTGCTTCTACTTCCATCAGCTGCTGGATGAAGGCTCTAGGATGGCATATAAGTTAGTCACCAATTTCATTATCAGGGCAGGGCATTTAAGGTAGCCTCTCCACTGTTGCTTAGATTGTTAGTTGGTATCATCCTTGTAGATCTCTGGACATTTCCCTAGTGCCTGATTTCTCTTTAAACCTGTAATGGCTCCCTCTCTGATGGTATCTCTTATTTTGCTCTCCTCTATTCTTCCTCCTATACAATTTTCCTGCTCCCTTATGTCCTCCTCACCCCTCCTCTTCTCCCCTTCTCTTCTCCCCTTCTCATTCTCCTAGCTCCCTCTCCCCTCCCCCCCTGCTCCCAATTTGTTCAGGAGATCTTGTCCCTTTCCCCTTCTCTGGGGGACCATGTATGTCTCTCTTAGGGTCCTCCTTGCTGCCTAGCTTCTCTAGTGGTGTGGATTGTAGGCTGGTAATCCTTTTCACTATGTGTAAAATCCATATATGAGTGAGTGCATACCATGTTTGTCTTTTTGTGACTGGGTTACCTCTATCAGAATGATTTCTTCTAGATCCATCCATTTGCCTGCAAATTTCAAGATTCCATTTTTTTCCCTCTGAGTAATACTCCATTGTATAAATGTACCACATTTTCCTCTATCCATTCTTCAGTTGAGGGGCATCTAGGTTGCTTCCAGGTTCTGGCTATTACAAATAATGTTGCTATGAACATAGTTGAACAGATGTCCTTGTTGTATGAATGTGCTTCTTTGGGGTATATGCCTGAGAGTGGAATTGCTGGATCTTGTGGTAGACTGATTTTCATTTTCCTAAGGAAGCAACATACTGATGTTCAAAGTGGCTGTATGAGTTGGCACTCCCACCAGCAATGGAGGAGTGTGTCCCTTTCTCCACATCCTCTCCAGCATAAACTGTCATTGGTGTTTTTGATTTTGGCCATTCTGACAGGAGTAAGATGGTATCTCAGAGTGGTTTTGATTTGCATTTTCCTGATGGCTAAGGATGTTGAGCACTTTCTTATGTGTCTTTCAGCCATTTTAGATTCCTCTATTGAGAATTCTCTATTTAATTTTGTACTCCACTTTTTAATTGGATTGTTTGGTGTTTTGGAAACTAGCTTCTTGAGTTCTTTGTAAATTTTGGAGATCAGCCCTCTGTCGGATATGGGGGTTGGTGAATATCTATTCCCAGTCTGTGAGCTGCAGTTTTGTCTTGCTGATAGTGTCCTTTGCCTTACAGAAGCTTCTCAGTTTCAGGAGGTCCCATTTATCAATTGATCTCAGTGTCTGTGCTACAGGTGTAATGTTTAGGAAGTGGTCTCCGGTACCAATTTGTTCAAGGGTACTTCCCACATTCTCTTCTAAGAGGTTCAGTGTGGCTGGATTTATGTTGAGGTCTTTCATCCATTTGGACTTAAGTTTTGTGCATAGCAGTAGAC